GCACCATCTGCCGGCGGTTGGCCTCGGAAAAACTGAGACTGGGCCTTGGGCTCCTCGTAGGTGGGGAGCTCCTCGGTGCCGTGCGGGGGCTGCGGAGCCCGGGGCTGCTTCTCCATCGCAGCACCGTCCCCTTGGTGCTCCTGCCCCTGCGGTTCCTGCCGCCCTGAAAAAAAATTTCTGCGGAAGAGAGAGTGCTGGCAGTGCTGTTGGAGGGGCCGGCGCTGCCCGTCGCCTGGTGCTGTATGGCCAGCAGGTTCATGTTCTCGCTGGGGCTGCCATACCTCAGCCGCTCCTGGATCAGGCGCTGCAGGGCGGTGCCAGCCGCCCCAAGGCTGCCACCTCCTCCGCCCCTCGCATCTCCGCCTCCGGGACCCGGCGGAAGCTGGGTGGGCGCAGGGTGCAGAGGGCCTCCTCGGCTGGGAAGGAGAAAGAGAGGTGGTCATTAGCTCTGCTGCCCAGGAGGTCTGATTCCCCCAGTTTTTTCCCCTCCTACACCTTTTGGCTGTGACTCCGTACCCAGGATGCACCACTGGGACACTGCCCTGCCAGGGTCCCCCTGGGAGCAGAGGAGAGAAGGAGAGAAGCCACTGCCTCCCATTCGCCCTCCCACCCCAGCTCATCCCTAATTCTGTCTGCAGCAACCCTTAAAAACATATTCCTGTCCTCTTCTCATCCCCTCCATATTCTCCATGCACCCCATACCCACACCTCTAAATTCCCTTCCAAGTCAACAGATATTCAGGAAACGTCACGGAGAAATTGGTCTTTTCCAAGATGTGAATGGGGTCAAACCCCCTGCAGAGGCAGCCTGCATAGCAATACTAGACAAATTGCTGCATTTTTGACGGCCAAAGTTAGTTGAGTCGAATACCCTCCTAAGTGCACTGCCTGCCACCATAAAAGAAAATGCAGAACATATCACAGAATAACTCCAAAATGACACTGTAAATAAAAGGGTCCTAAAAGTGTAATTAAAGAGGAATCTCTGCTCTGCCATCTTCTGTAAAACTGCAATTTCCCTTCTGGCCAATAACGCCATTTTGAAAGGAGTCAAGGCTAACTTTTGTAATTTTGCTGGGTGAGCACACGGAAGGTGTTATGGTCACAGATATAATGCCAGCATTTTAAAAAGAGCCCAGACAGATCAGCTACACAACCCTAACACAGGCTGCTGAAGTCATTCCAAGGCAATGGCATCATTTTTGCACTATATATGCAGTGGAGCTTGCCCAGAGCTAAGCATCTAATGGTACGTAACCATGGCCATGGGGTTAGGATCCCTCCCTCCTGGAGCCCTCCCCTTGCATCCATCCCCAAAGTGGTGTAAGACATCTGCCTGAAGAGTGTCTGAGCCCAGAGAGGTGCTCCTCAAAAACCCCAGTGAAGATAAAACGGAGAATAAGCCTGCAGCTCCGGACAGAGTCCTCCCATGTCCCTAGGCAAGAAGGAGGTGCTGTTTTCCATTTTGTTTTTTGAGGTCATTCTTGGCAACTTTCTCTCTCTCTTCTGCTGTTCCCAGTGCTCAGAGGAGTTTGTCAGGACTTACATTCATTTTTTGGCATTTGAAAGTAGTTAAAAAGTAAACTTTCTCTTGAGGTCTGGTATTTCCCTGAGGTTTCATCAGTGACTGCACATGCTGTGGGATAACTTCTATACAACCCAGAGGAAGAAAAGCCTCTGACTCTTGCCTACAAGAATAGGTCACTTCTACTAACATTTTCATAGCAAAGCCTTAAAGATGATTGTGGGGCTTGAGGGGGAGAGAAAATTCCCAGGCTGTTTCACTCCACCCCTGCCTTACAAAACACACTTCTGCTTCCCTTGAGACAGCAGTATCTGCCTGCCAGCCTGACTCCCTGGGGTTGTAGCCTGGCCACCAGCTTTCAGAGGGTCTGTCAGCTCCCCGGGCCGGTGTTTGAGCCAACAAGATGCACAGACGCACACATCAACATCTACCTCTCTGCACAACAGCCAAGCAACCATCTATTTTATATTGCCCCTGAAGCTACAGCAAACTCTTACTGCTTTATCCATGCCATCGAAGCACACAGAAGCCTCACCATATTGGACATTTTTCCAGATGTGTAATAAAATCTCCCTAACTTGCCAGAACGCCCGCAGTCCAGGTTGTTAGACTGTGCCTGAGATAAGACTGGGGAAAGTGGAAAAAGCCAACACTACACTGTCAAGGCAGCTCTTTATCATATACCACAAGGATTTTTCACCCTGTGAGCATCCTTATATTTGGGAGAGGTACTTGAGTTGCCTATTGTTGAGGTCCAAAAGGGTCGACCACAGTGAGCCTTCACAGGGTGCCTGCGGTCCTGCTCCATCAGTAAAAAGCTACGGACCTTGGTCCAGCTGTGCAGTGAAGAGGAACCACATCTTGAAGGACAAACGAAAATGTTGCATCCCCCACAAGCACAGGTGACAAATGACAGTGGGTTGTAACACTCAGGTCAAAGGCAACTCTCCCCGCTTTGACTCTACTGAGGATGAGAAGCTGGCCTTCAACTCTGTAAATATTATTTGTAAATGGTCTAAACTGCTCAATTTATGTTTTGGGAAAAACCTGGAAGTAAATGGGGTGGGTTCATATGGAAGCATGGCCACCCACTTACCAGCTTTTTCTTTGGCACTGATTGCTTCAGCTGTTAGCGGAGAAACTTCATGCCTGCCAGCAAACAACTGGTGATCCTGGTAAAGAAAGCCAGTGTCTTCCAGTACCTGGACTGGGCTGGTAGGCTTGTAACAAACAGATGTGGAGCCTGCAAGAAGAACGGGATGTCAGCAAATAAACCACTTGAATGTATAAAGCCATGACTTATGACAGAAGTCCAAAAAGTTTTCTTGAGCATGGTGAGGTACCTGAGAAGTGAGAAGCCCTGCTGAGGCCACTGAGCCAACCACATCTGCTGTCCTCACCACTCAAGTAACACATTAGCTCTGACGAACAAGAGGGCAGCCACCGAATCATGTTCCATGCACCAACCCAGCCTGGCCTTCAAGGTCCCCAGTCCAAGTACAAAGTAAGGCTGGCACAGCCTGGCTTGTAAGAGCTGACAGTGACAAACTCACAAATTCGGGCACATCCCTGGGACATGAAGCCAACAGAGCCAGGGTAAAACTGGAAGAGGGAGTGGGTAAAAAGAAGGAAAGAAGGATAGGTGAGGACCCAGCCACACATTCAATAAGGTTAAAGTCTGGGAAAGGCTTTACCACAAAAACCACTTATGAATAATAGTTCAGTAATACAAAAAAAAAATACCAAGACATAAAATATAGTCAAAGCTATCAAGGGAGAGAGTTTATAAATCACTTTGTCCAGATGTTCTTAATATGGTAAGGAGAGGATGTAGCTGGAGGGCCACGGGAATGTGTCCAGCCAACTAACTGCACAGGAGCCTCATGCCTGAGCTCCAGCATCCCACAGACATCGATGGCTGGTCCAATCCCCCAGTCCCTTTCACAATCAGCAAGCAGGAACAAGCCCTCCCGGCAAGCAACAAGGCTCAACCTAAATCTGCTCTCAGGGATGGCCTTCTCCAGTGGTGCTTGTTTCAACAAGCTCATACAAAATGCATCATAGCAGTGTTAAGGCAAGAATGACATTGGCTTGACCTCACAATTCAAGAAAGACACAGACAGACTGAAGAGGGTCCAAAGGAGAGCCACAAAGATGATCAAAGAGCTCTAGAACCTGTCCTACAATGAAAGGCTGAAGGAGTTAGGTCTTGTCTCCCTGGAGAAGAGGAGGCTTGAGGGGGAACCACATCACAGTGTTCCAGTACTTACAGGGTGGCTACAAAGAGGACAGAGGCTCTCTCTTCACAAGAAGCCATATGGGGAAGAAAAGGGGCAACAGGTACAAGTTGCACTAAGAGAGGTTTTATCTTGACATAAGAACGAAATTTTTTACAGTGAGAACAATCATTCACTGGAACAACCTCCTCAGTGACATAGTAGAGTTTCTGTCACTGAAGATTTTCCAGATGTGACTGGACAGGGTGCTCAACAATCTCATCCAGGCTCCCCTTCCCACAAAATGCTGGACCAGATATCTTTTGCGGTCCCTTCCAACTTGGGCTGTTCTACTTATTTTTCTGAGCACTACCTCATTTTTGTAAACACAAGGCTCTTATACGTCCAAACCTTGGAGGTGAGCATCTCCTGGCCCCAAGTACCCTATTGCAGCAGGGACACAGCAGACTCACTCACCATTTAAACCACCAGTTGCCATCGGCTTTAGACTAAAGCCATTGACCTCCAGCACTGGCCACTGCCGATAGACTTGCTTGAGCAGGAGGTGGAGGCCTCGTAGTGGCACCAATAGGGCGTCCATCTGTCCCATTAGGGAGTCTGTCTGTCCCAGTGGGGCAGGAAGCCCATGAGCACAAGGACCACGAGCACCTTGCTCTGCAAGAAAAACCATCGGCCACGGATGATGTGGACTTATTAATCCTGATGGCTTGTTTTGCGCTCAGCTAACTGCGTGCTCACTGGCATATGGCACACGGGGAGGTTGCCTTCTTCTCCTCCTTATGTATAGGTCATCGCTAACCCCATGCCCCTGCACGGAGCAGGGTAGCAGGGGGATAGCAGGGGTCAGGATCCAGCCTGTCCTCTCTGGAGGCATGAAGATGCAGATACTATGTTCTTCTGTGCCCAGAGGAGAGGAAATAGGCATTCCTGCAAAATGTTAATGAATTCATCACGTTACCATTCATGTTATGCATGAATGTGTATGGCAGTTATCTATATTTAGACAGCAAGAGGGAAAGATTGCTCACTTGAGTAGATTTAAGCTGAATACATTTGTGAAACGAGCACGGTAGACTGGTCTGGAATTTGGGTTGATGCTGATACAGACCCAATAAAAATCTCAAGAACCCTAATTTCCAACATTATTACCCTACTCTGGTGCAGAATAACAGTAAAGACATCCTTCACGGCTCCTCCACACACATGGTCCTGCCTTGGAATCAGGAATCTTGTATGAAACAAGGCAGTTTTGAGCTCGGGCTTGTTTTATGAATAAAAAGTGGATTGGGGAGAAACAAAGAAAATCCACACATCCAAGGAAGTCAAACAGTTTCAAGCATTACAGGCGACCTGAAAGACCAGCAACTACCACCTCGGCCTCACCACTCACTAAAGAGAACTTGAAAGAAATAAAACTGTTCGTAAAACTGTTCAGTCACCTTCCATGTTTTGAGTCTGTAGGCATCCTTGGGTCACGGTTTTAAATTTTCTGAGATGCGAAATGAAGAATACAGACTTGTTTCTTCTCTAATGAGAGCAGAAGTTCTCACCTGACCACTTGCCTTTCGGGGCTGTGGTCGTGGCAAAGCAATATT